CCCCCTGATAAATATTTATATTGATGTTATATATAATTCCTAATTCCTTCCAGGAAACAATACAAAATCTAATCACATATTCCCTTCATACAAGGGCTAGGAAAAAATCTGTAAACTCAAAAGCGGGCATGGGAAATAGAGGAAGAACAGGGTCTTGAGTGTTGTAAGGGAGCTTTGATGTGAAAAGGAATTGGGCTAAGGTCATGTCTGCATGGATAATTTCAGACAGTCGGGAATTAACCTCACCATTTACTGTGCTGGCAGGACATGACACTTCTATTCAGAAGCCAATGTAAAGATGCACAAAAAATTCAAAATACTAAAGTGATCTCAGCCTCTGGAATGACTGCTGCTTTTTCTTTGTTTTCTTTATTCTGCCACCTAATAATGGAGTGAAGGAATTCAATGCTTCAAGGAATTAAAGGGTAATTTGTCAATGACGTTCTTACGGCAAGGCAAAAATTCAAATATCCCTTAATAATCTTAAGTATCAACAGTATACAAAGACATGTTGCCCATTATTCCCTTTTGTGCATGACTTGCACACACATTGTCTCACAGCTAATCCAGAATCCTGTAGTGGAAGCAGATAAGGAGCCAACAGAAATCTACAGAAAAAAACACAAATGTGGTGGACTTTATGATGCCACAATATTCAGTATTAGCTCTGTGTAAACGATTGGCTGCAAATCACATGGTCTAGAACTGAGCGGTTCTAGTAAAAGTGTTAAAATAGAGTGGGCCTAACACTAAGGAAAGACAGCATTTTAAATGCTGGACCTACTGTCGCCCTGCTTTTTAAGTCACTTCTAAAACACACAAGAGACTGTCCAACTCATGTCTTTAAATAACAAGATTTATGTTTTTTTTCTAATATGAAGTATATGACCATACAGATAAAATGTTTATTGTATGAGCTTTGTTGATGTTCTAGTTTTTGCATTTTGAATCTGAGGGTTAGTTCCAGGGTTTCTTACTTCTCTCAGTACAGTCTTGCCAAAATTTAATGCTACCAGCCAGGCCTCAGAGGCAGATAAAGTTCTACCCTGCAGACATTCAACATGGTATTTTCTCTTTTATGTCATTCTCCAGTCTATGTAGGAATAAAAAAATTATTTTAAAAAAAAGTGATGTCAACTTCTAGGAGACAGACTGGATTTTGCAAACTTGTCCCTGGCTTTAAACTGAAACAGAATGTGTTCAGTTTGGGTATTAGGAAATAATTCCTTTCTGTGAGGGTGGTGAGGCCTTGGTAAAGGTTGCCCAGAGATGCTGAGGCTGCCCCATCCCTGGAAGTGTCCAAGGCCAGGTTGGATGGGGCTTGGAGCAACCTGGGCTAGTGGAAGGTGTCCCTGCCCCTGGCAGGGGGTTGGAACTGTAATATCTTTAAGGCCTCTTCTAATGCAGGACACTCTATAATTCTCGGATTCCCTTCTCCCAAATTTCCACAAACTGCACTCTCCTATGTTTCGATAGAAATAATGAAAAATATCCCTAAGCTTTAAAGCTTTAGAAGGTGGAAGTTAATGTGTGCTGCAAATCTCACGCGTGGTTGCGGAAGAGCCCGCCGAGCCTGAGATCCTGGCTCTCCCCTGGAGACAAGATACTTCTCTGTAAGAGAGAGACAATGTATCACTCCCAGGGATCTTTGAGTTAGTTATGTTAAACTGTTGTGCCCCTGCTGTCCCACCCTGATACATGTATCTCGAGCTCCCCCCCCCCCCCCCGCCCCCCCCCCCCAAATATCCCGGGTTTTCCCCTGTTCGGGAGATGTTGCTGGCTCCCTTTGCCAAAGATCTGCCTGAATAAAGGTTTGTGCTTAGTGGAACACTGGACCAGCTTTCTTATCCCTTCTTCCCATGTCACCTGCCCGCCGCCGCTGAGCCGAGCTGGAATCACTCGCCTGCCCGAAGCCGCTCACACGCGCTTCGGCCCAGCCCTTTTCAGGACTGCTTCACTAGAGAAGTTGCAGCGCTCCGGCCTTTTCGTCGCTGCGGCACTCACCTACTGAATAGGTCTGGTTTTACCGTATAGGTAAATTTCTTCTCTGAGACTTGGAGTTTTAAGTGTAATCCCAGCTCCCAATCTGGTCTTGCATATCTGTGGTCTAGTCTGTAATTTTGCTTGTGGGGTAGAGAGGAAGATCAAAAGACTAAAACTGTCAGATGTAAGAAAAAAATACATACAGTTCTTTCTTTGTGACTATCACAATATTCAAGAGCTGAACTGAATAACATTTGATCTAATGGGAAAGATACAACACAGTTGCCAGTGAAATCTTTCTGACTCCAATCATAAACTTCTCCGAAAAGTGCTTTTAATAGTGTTGCAAGTCAGAATACAGATCTCTTTATTAGGAGAAGGCTGATAGACATCTAAGGCTCTGGCTTTGAAGGGGAACACTTGGATGTCTTTAGTTAAAAAAGGAATATAGTTTCATGTACAGGCCTAGAATAAAACCAATGTTATAAATGCAATGGCAAAATAGGGTTAATATAAAAAGCGATTTATTATAAAACAATTTCAATCGCAAACAACGAGAGAAAAAAAAAAACACAATAAAATAAATCAGCGCAGCGCTGGGTGGACAGGGGTCTATACCCAGAGATACAGATTTACCCAAATCCACAAAGTAGGTACTGCAGTCCGGGGTTCTTAGAGGGGTTTTCGTATCCTGGGGCAAAATCCGGAGTAAGCACCGTCCAACAAAAGAGTTTGAATAGACTTCCCGGATCCGTTGAGCTGAGTCAATGGTCGGTGGAGCAGAGTCCTTTCACATGTGAGAGGCTCTGAGTGTCCTCCGATTGCATTTCCCGGAATGGAGTGGCCAGTTTGGGTGCGGAGGAGATGGATATCTCAATGGAGCCACTCTCATTGTCTGGTTTGATTGCTTGTGTCCTGCTTTTTATTTTGTGTTGATAAGCGTTGCTGCCGGTCGTTACTGCCCGACTCGGGAAGGTATCTCTGGATTATTTTACATTTTGCATCTTTACAGTATTACAAATATAACATATAATTCTTTATTCTCTTTCACGAATTTTTATCCAATGTTATATTTATCACAGTCCCCCGCCTAATAATTTATCCCATTAAAAATTCGTGTTTAACAATATTCGTCCTCTTCCCAGTCTGTAAGTGAATTCCCACAGTATTCCTGAGAAGGGTTGTTTTTATTTTGCTTTCAGGGTCCATCCCTTCCTCATCTCTGAAGAAGCAGAACACTTGATCGAATTGTAAACATACTCGGTCATCATAATTTTTTTAACAAATTAAGAATTATCGGTTCATTACTAAAGGAGGCTTTTTCTTCATGTTTTAAATTTTTACCTTCCCAATACAATTTCCCTCCTATGGTACACGTTTTTAAGTTTGCTTTATTGTAACACAAAGGGTTGACTTTATAATATGCTAAAAAGGTGGATTTCTTTTTCCTCCTATCCAGACAGTGTTATTACATTGGCTACAGGTTGGAATTGGAGGAAGCATTCCCACTTCTCTCTTATACCTGAAGTGGGTAGCTTTGGTTTTTCTTCTCATAGGAGTCTTAGACTGCCTGTCCTTAAAAC